CAAAGTCATTAACCAGGCTCAAGGCACCAGGCTCGAGACATGACAAAGCCTCCCTAGGGAGTCCTAGTGTGTTTATGAATGACTGATCAGTGTGTGCAAAGACTAACAACTACAGTTTCCTCCTCCCAGATGTTTACAGCCTGAGACTGCTCTGCTATGGAGACTAGCTAATCGCTCCTCCTGTGTAGTATATAATAATACATTGAGGCTCTATGTTGCAGTTGTCGCAGTTAGAGAACATAACCTGTGGCCAGCTTCACTCTGAGCCTATCCTTTCTTCATCCCTAGGTGGGGTTCCAGAACCCAAGCAGAACTGATAAATTGCGGATCCTCTTAAACTATTTGATATTGTTTTGCTGCCCTTTTGCTAGTGCCTCCTTTTATGCTGGCATGGCCTCTGGAAAATTCTGGTAAAGAATTAGATTTGCTTGGTCTTCCGGCCCATAGCATGACTAAATCTATGTTATTTCCTTTCCTGAATGGACACATTTCTTAGAGAAAGTGTGTTTCTTCTCAGATAGAAGAGTTTCCTGGGACACAGAAGCCCAGGAACCACACAGCTCTGAGGTGGGACAGTGTCCCAATGGAAAGGCATCCTGAGACACTGGGTGCCAGGAACTGCACAGCTCTGAGAGGAAGCCTTCTCAGCAGAGGTGTTGCTGTTCCCAGGGCAGGGTACCCCCAGCTGAGCCCTAGCCCTGCTCCTCTCTTTGCTTTGCTGCTTCTCTTCATTGTTTCTTTTATTTTAGTTCCTTCCAACGAGAGTCACACCAGGTAGAAAATCTCATGAGATTTTTGGAGGGTCCAGGGTATGGAGGAACGAATACAGGGATGGCTGCCCTCTGATCCTAGGAGCAGAGAGTGGGGAATTGGACAACGGGCCACTACTTATATGGGATTTCTGAGGGGATTGAGCTTCTCAGGGAAGAGTTTTCCAGAATGAGGATTGGTGGGATTGCAAATCTTGAGTTTGGGCAGCTCAGGGATTGGTAGGTTTTTGTGGGAAGCTCAGGGATTGGTAGGTTTTCCTGCTCAGGGATTGGTGGCCTTTTTTCACCCCCTTTCCCCTGCATTAGGGATGGGAAGTCCTTCCCAGCTGCAGCAGGCTTTCACTGAGGCACCTCCTCTCTGTGGCTGCTGGGAGAGGCTGGAGGGGAAGTGCTACCTGTGTGGACAGCTCTTCATGCTAGCAGTAGGCTGAGGCAGGAAAGGACATGCACCACTGTCGACAGTTCCTGCAGCTCCTCTGATGGCTGAGGAGTGAGAAGCTGTTGTGGCTCGACCATTTTAACTGGAGCCGCCATTTTAGACAGCTCTTGTGGGATATTTTATTGCAGTGGTGGCTGTAGACTGGGGCTAGGGCTGGACGGCCCCTGCTTTGATGGCTTTTGTGGCACTCAGTCTTACAGACATATTTAGGCAAAGAGAAGACAAAAGGGTAAATGTGCCTCTGTATATGTCTACACAGGAAAAAAAGAATAAAGGGCAAGGAATCGTTTTAGAACTCTGGCTCCAAGCAGTTAGCTCCATCTGACTTTCCAGGTGGTTAAATTTGCCTCCAAGGCACCTGTCTTCAATGGGAACAGGTTCTACAGGTAAATTCCTCTCCAGTACTTGCTGGCTCTCTTTAAAATGTGGGGAAATGCTTAATACTCACCATTAGAAAAAGATATAACGACATACTGAAAAGTTGATCTGAGGATTAGATAATATGATGTATAAATTAGATGATGTATCTAAAAGTTTTAGTCAACTGACAAGACATCCAATAAACACTAACATACAAGATCAAAGGGAGCAAGGTGAATAGTAGTTTTAGAAGCTTGGCTAGGCACTCTAAGCCAACAGCTTTGGTGTCCAACTTAAAAATGAGGCTTATTGCAGCTGGAGAGATGGCTCAGTTCTTAAGAGCACTGGCTACTCTTTCAGAGGACTTGGGCTCAGTTACTATCCCCATATGGCAGCTCACAACCATCTGTAACTTCAGTTTCATCCTGCACACATATGGTGAATATAAACTCTGGCACACACACACACATATAAAATATTTTTCAAAAGCCCTCAGCATCACCATTATGAAGTTTGAAAATTGGTGAAAAGGACCCAGATATCTAGAGCAGGGTTTGGTAAATCTGGAAAGACTATACACTTCATTTTTAAAAATCCTTTTATTGAAAAGATTTCACACACACACACACACACACACACACACACACACACACACACCGCATATCTTCTGGTCCCATCTTGGTCCATACCTTGTGTCTTCATTTAAAAAAAAAAGGCTTCTAAGAATAATATTTTAAGATTAAATAAATCTTCAGTCATTGGTCTGTTTTGTGTATTCTGGTAATGGAATTGGGGACTTTGTACATGCTAATAATTCTGTTATTTAGAATATTAAACTATGAAGGCCAGGTTTGGGTTTCATCCATCCCCTTGAATACAATTAACCTTAAAACTTGCAGCTAGATTGCTAACAGCCTATTACAAATGTAGGCCTTTTCATGTGCTGTCAAGCTTTATACTAAGTACTCTATAATCTCCAGTAAGGAATTACCATCCTGTATTCTAGGAGACACCAGTAAGTTAGAGGCATTGGCTAATTTTCCCAGGGCCACAGGACATGACAGAGTATTTCCATTCACATCTTTCATTCTGAAGTTCTTCCTTCTATTCTTAATCCTGCTTTTTTTTTTTGGGGGGGGAGGGTTTCGAGACAGGGTTTCTCTGTGTAGCCCTGGCTGTCCTGGAACTTACTTTATAGACCAGGCTGACCTGGAACTCAGAAATCCACCTGCCTCTGCCTCCCAAGTGCTGGGATTAAAGGCGTGCGCCACCACTGCCCGGCAATCCTGCTTCTTTATGACCTTGTTTTAAAGTATTTCTCCAAATCCTAGGCTAGTTTGATTGTGAGGTATGATTTCTTAGAGACAAAAAAAAAAAAGCACTGGTTTTGAACAGCTGGCCAATGAGAATTTTAAAAGGATATATCTATATATGAATTAAAGAATATAAATATAAATGTGTTAAATCACTTTGGAAATTACCAAATACACTTTAGGATGTATCAATTAAATTAAATGAGCATTCATTTCAGCAAATTAAATGTGTTTTGGAATCAGTTCTAGGGCAGAAATTTTCCAAAAGTCTGAAGTAAAACCTTTTCTACACTTTTTTTTTTATAAAATTTGAGCAAATTCTGGTGGTTCTGGGATTGAATCCAGGGCCTTGTGTAGGCAAGTACTAAACCACTGAGCATCTCCATTATTTATATTACATGCACTACTGGCTTCAGTTATGGCTTGACTTGAAATATGAAATAACTAGAAAAGATTTCAGCCACCTTTTCAGTGTGCCAGTCAGATTACTGGCATCCAAGTAAATGCCCTTTAAAATTAGCTGCCTTGAGCTGCTATAGGTTTTTGAAGAATGTTGTCATTTGTTTAGAAGGTGCTTGTATAAATTGCTTTGGGAACACTTTCATGAGCCCTAGTAGAGCAACCCTATTCAGCTGGTTTACTTGCTATCTTTCTGGTTAATCCTGCTGTTTCCAAGGATTTATCTTTATCTCAATGGACATATACCACTTAAGCATGTGAAAAACATTCTAAAGGCAAGTGCAAACAAACCATTTCCAAATATTTGGTGCAGCAGTTTGAACTAAGTAAATGGCTGTTGAGGGGAGGACTTGAAGATCGTATCTCATTCAACATTTGAACCACCAAGGTGAACAGTCCCTAACACAAGGAAGCAGGTTTTTCAGTAGCTGTGTAAACAAATGATACTGGCAAGCCCTGAACAGATGCATGCGCCTAATTATTTCCATTCAAATACATAACTGGGAGCTCACATACTTGCGTGGAGCAGTGAAGGATATGGGGGTGAACAAGGGCTCATCCGAATTTCCAGTTCCCTCAGCTAATAGGAGGAAACCATGTTGCTTTCATCTATATCCTAAGGCTTGTTTTTGGAAGAGTGTGACCTAAAGTCTCTGAAATATTGCTGAACTTCTCACTGGATGATCCATGACTGTGGCACATCTATAGTAGTGACTATATTGCCCAGTGCAGTTTTAGTGGCATCACGATTTAAAAGCTGACCTGTGGCTATGCAGATACACCTTTTTGGCTGACCCACATAACATCAGAACTGAATAAGCCTCATTTTAAAAAAGTGTGTAGGTGATGATGAGTTTTGAAAAATGCCTTGTGATGCAAGTCTATAATCAAAGCTACTTACAGAGACTGAGGCGGAAGAATCACAAATCCAAGGCCAGCCTAGGGAACAGTTGCTACATTGAAATAGTCTGAGGAGTCAAGCTCAGCACTAGGGTGTTTGCCTAGCATGAATTGAGGCCCTGGGCTCAACACCCAATTTCTAACAAATTGAATCACCACAGACTAAAACCCCTAGAAAGTTATGACACAAAGGGTGGACTTCACCAAAGCTGTACCGACTGATGAACTGAGTCTGAATACCAATACAGAGCTCTGCAGGTGTCACAGGAAATTAAACTTTAACAAACACTGCCCAGCTTCAGGTGTGTAAAGGGAAAATTCTACCCACCTAACATTGTGTGATAATGTGCTTAGACAGAGGCACCTCAATGAAGGACTTCTACATTTCAGGATGTAGACAGAGACAGGATGGAAGACACTACACAAGCACACACGCACACCCATTCCGTCCAGGGAGGTCAATCAAGATAGCAGTCAGGGCAGAAAACAGCAAAGACACATCTACCTCAAATGTTACTGATTTCCCAGATTCTTGGCATATACTTTCATCTTTTTTACCAAAGATTAAGCCATTCAACCAGAGACAGAAACTGAGGCCAAGTAACAAAACCCATCTGTCCACAAGCAGAGCAGCCAAGGCCATCAGACTCAAGATTGCAGTGAATCTTCCTCTCGAGTAATTGCCCGTGACCAGTTTAAAGCACCAGAACCTTAACCAGTTTCCACTTTTAAAACCCCAAGGATGAAAAAGCACAAATGATTACTTCATGCATTTTATTGATAGTCTATATTTTAAGTCTGCAGTATGACATCGTACATAGGGAAAAAGCTTCTTCCTAAAAGATAGCTATTAATAATCAAACCAAATTTAATGACTGACCTTTCAAGGTCTCGTTCTGCATCAAACAAGTTAAATTTTAGCAGGTGTAAAGCACTGTACAAAAAGTTGGGTACATTCTCAAAATTCAACACAGGGCTTCCCAACCAAGAGTTTGCTGGATCAGATACCGGAGAAGGGTGTTTCGTTCAGGTTTAAATGGTAAGGAAATGAGAAAGCAGACAAAGCAAGCCAAGCAAATTCACTTCCCTTGGTGCTCCTGTTGCCTTTTGAAAGTGTCTCTTGGAGGTCAGAAAGCACTGGTGTGACAGTAACTCCAGCCTTTTGACAGCCTGCACACATATGCTTCATGTTCAGAGACTTAAGGGCAGCCCTCTTCAAATCCTTTCTTATGGGCTTTACAGAGCTTTCCAGGATTGCTGCCCAGTTCTGTACAGGAACCCAAGTAAACATCTATTCCAAAGCAGCTTTTTCAGAACCAGGCCAACTGCGTACCTACTCCACTGGACACTTCACAGGGCCCTATACCTTTAAAAGCAGCACCAGGGACAAATGGAACTATCAAGAGGTAAAATTCAACTGCTAAACAGTTTAAACATGTAGAAACCAATCTGTTAAAAATGTTAGTAACAGGGCACTGAACAGAGTTAAGGCTGGGCAGCTGGCTTGACTCTAACTTGCAGCTGGAAACAATCTTCAGAATGAGAACTGAGACAAACCTTGAAACAAGGCACAGTGGTATGACAGGCTCACCGTCACTGCGCTTCTCTAGCTGCTTTCCCAAATGACTATAAAGCAGCGGTGGGACTTCAGTAAACAAATCCTTGCTGGGTGGGGGTGACACACCTATACTCCCAGCAACCAGGAGAATCACTAATTCCAGGCCAGCCTGGGCTACAAAACAAGACCCTTTCAAAATACCCAAAACAGTAAGTCCCATGTATCTCACTGTAATTTTGAGTGGTCAGTAACCTTTTAAAGATTTGAATCCAGACATCTACTTGGACATGAAAAAAAACCATAAACCTGATACCTAAAAAAAAAAAAAAAATCCCCGGTAGTTCTATTCTAAGCTGTAGGCTTTTAGATGCAAACTATGGTGACTTACAGGAGGCCACTCACTTCTGGAGTGTTCGATAGTATTTTAGAAATGTTTCAGTGAAGGTAAAGGAATCAAGTGCTAAGTACCTGAATTCCTAACATTCAAGAGGCTGAGGCACAAGGACTGCCACAAGTTTGAAGCCAACCTGGTCCACAGAGAGCTCCAGGCCAGCTTTGAGTACACGGCAAGACCTTACCTCAATAAAGGTAATCCAGAATGCTAAAAAATTTAAAGGGTGAATATTGATTGAGCTTACAGCTGTTTTTATTTGCTTAAACTGGGACTTAGAAATACTCTTTCCTCAGACTTTGCACTTTACTTCCCAAGTGAAGTATGATCCATCAACATACACTTAAAAATAATTTTTAAAAGAACCATTTACTAGTTAACTCAATTACAACACTGTTACTGAGCATTAAACATACTGAACTGTACTAAAGGGGAAAAAGAGACACCTTTACACGTGCCTTCTCCATCTCATTACACAGGTACAGAAAGAATACTTCGAGAGGAGAGAGTGAAAAATCAGAACAGAAGATTAGCCAAGAACCTAAGTGCCCTGCGAACATGGCTTCCAGGTACTGCATATTTTTGGTAAGACATGACACAGAAGCCAGTCAGAAAAAAACATTAAAACAAATCAGCTAAGGCAGATTACAAATTATTTCCTTTCACAAAAGAATTATCCTCCACCCGTTTAAAAAAAAAGTCAACCACAAGGTGCCACTGTATTTCTAGCCAACTGTCAGAAATGGCCTTTAACAGTCATTTTGCAACATAGACCACCTTATCACATGGGTATTTGGAGACTCATAGAAGCAGGTGGTTAAATACAAAGTGTGCTAAATGCTAACCCTTCATAACTATTAGACATCGACAAAAGCACAGACTACTTGGCACAGAAATGAAGTTTTCCCAGGAGGAAAGAAAAAAAAAGCAAAATATTGCTTAAGGTAACAGGGCAAGCCAGTTTCCTAGCTTGGATGGATTCTAACAATTGTGTCCCTAAAGACTGAGCATCTCCTGGCACTAACATTTTGTTATCAATCTGACAATTACCTGTTCCAACACCAAAGCCACTTCCATTAACATGGAGGACATGGTAGTGTAACTAACATGTTCTTTTCAGAGAAAATGTTCCAAATTCCCACCATAGCTCTCTCTTTCTGCAGGGTTACTGCAAACAGCCTGCCATTTTTAACTTGTTAAATTTTGTTTTCAGCACTAATAAATCTCAACATTGTAAGCTGCGTGGAATAAAACAATACTGCAAACCTTTACACTAGTAAGCGGATTAAAAAATTTTGAAGTATTCAAGAAAAATCAGGCTTTAGTACTTTCCCCTATGCTTTGAACAATGTAATCCCCCAACATTATTACTGCATGAAGTTCAAAGTAGGTCTTAAACACAGGACCTTTCTGTAATAAAGAAAAAGTGCGAAGATACAAAACAAAATGTAAAGTCTTTTGCAAGAAAATGTTCCCTCAATAGGTGTTTGGACACTGGTGAGGAAACCAAGATTCCTGTTCTTCATTGCACACCTGACACCTACACCAACAACCTTATCTTTAACAGCTGCAACTAGTAATATAGAATAGCCGTGGATGCTAAAATAAAAAGCAACTCCCACTAAAAATACTTGTATTCGTCTAGACAACCCAATATCAGTGAGTGCTTCTTGAAATGGTCCACATGCACTTCAAACATGTGCATTCTACTGAAGACTAGAAATGTAAAGACTGACTTCCAGTGTTTTTGAATAGCTTCAACATCTACATTCATAACCAGTATCCTGCTTGAGTTACCTCTAACTTCAATACTTCAGAAATGAGTAATACATTTGGGGAGGTTAGGGAGGTGCCTGCTGTCCATCACTGTTTAGAATGTGCTGCAGCTGTTTTTGAGCTATAGAAAATGAACACCCCTAAAATGGAACATTTTACCAAGAGGAAAATGGACTTGTTGTATTTTTACCTAATCAGGACTATCCTGGCAATCTGAAAACAATAGAAAGGTGACAAGGAGGCTCACAAATATAAAGGAACCCTGACTTTTACATGGACAAGTCTCTTAAAAAGATAAAAATGTATTACATAAGCGCCATAAACAGTGAAATATGCTTCTATTAAAAAAAATAAGTGAAGCTTTGTTTGGACATTATTTCCTTGCAAGAGCAGTACATATCCTTTGTAAACAACTACCATATTTACAATTTACTTTCCTTAATACTTAGGTAGGACTGAAAGCCAGAAGAAAACATGAAAGAATGTACTTTGAAATAATCTTTACTGCTAAGGCAATATCAGTGAGGGTAAGCAGGTAATTCTTAAAGCAGATTTCTGTAAAACATTTTCTAGAGTACTGGACTAACCTGGGTAGTTAGCTTATTTGGTTATAGGCCAAGATTGTGTATCTTCAATCCAGGTCTCTTCTGGCCTGTTAGCTTTCCCCAGAGAAACACTTTACATATCCGCTCCACAGCCAGACTAATCTTAACCCTAATCAGCCTCAAAAGAAAAAAAAAAGAGGCAAGAGTACTGGGGTTATCACAATCTATTCTTCCTACAAAACAACAATAAAGTGCGTGTTCATATATATGAGCCAGCCATCTTATCTTCAAATACAGGCAACACAATTAAAATTTGAATTTCAAATAACCCAACCTGACTCACTTTCAATAAAAAATAAAAATCTCTTAATCCACAATAGGTCTTTAAATGTGGCCCATTAGATCTGCTAGAAATTAGCAGTGAAATTAGCAACAAAGTGTGCACTGGTACCTTAGATGGTCTCAAACAAGCAAATCTGAGACATCTCCAATAGCACACACATCTGTACCAACTGAAATCCTTACTTTAAAATTGGCCTAAAAGTCTCTTTCCTCTACTTTTTGAGGAGCAGATGTAAAGACATCAATTTGACTTGTACTAGGTAGTAGTGGTTTGTTTTTTCATACACCAAAGAAAGCTCTGCCAAATGTACTGATCTTCTGCTTTATCTATTCAAGCAGAATAGTGGGTCAAGCTGCTGTGGCTCTCACTATATGAATCCAGTTCATGTCTGTATTACTTACTGTCTTCATGAAAATGTTCCATTCTTCAGGGTCGTTTTCTTCACCCTCATGTATCACTTCCTGCCTAAATCCAAGTTGGATTCTGCACGGTCCTTTCCTTTCCATGTCACAGTAGCTGTTCACAAAGACACTAAATATAGATATGTTCTGCTCTTGACATCTACACACTTACAAAAGCAGCTCTGTACTTTGTTTGGTGTGTTTTACTTGCTGGCTCACAAAAAAAAGCAGTTCTCATTTCTAAGCATGGTACTTTACAATTTTGAATGCATTAATACAACAGTGCATTGGAAAAGTACTGAGCCTCTACAAAATAGCTTTACATTTTTAAACAAATGAATGTGATTTTTTTCACTTACACAAGCATAGGCTTTTTAATATTTCCACAAGATAAATATCTCAATTAAACTCTAAGTTCGCTCTATTGTGTGCCACAGTGATGGGCTTAGGACAGTTAACACACTTAGAAGATCCTAACTGTTTAGTGTTATTTACACTGATATGTCCATCATCACCTACTCTGGAAGGTGAACAAACAATATTCAGAATGTGAATGAATTTGTGTCAATAACTGGGAATGGTACAGTTTTAGGTAACCATTTACAAAACACATAATGGAACTTAGTCTTGAGTGGAACCTTTCTTCATGCCTCTCTTATGGCCTGGGAAACTTTCAAGAGGTCAAATACAGACTATAGAAAGGAGCTACTGCTAAGGCAGCCCTTAAGACAACAAAGGAAAACCTGACACGTGGACATGGGTAAAGTAGCAATAACAGCTTAGCAATTCATCTGGTACCGAAATCAAATGTTTAAGTCCTAAAATGTTGCTTTTAAAATATTCTTTCCATCCTGAAAGAGAAACTAGAGAAAAGAATGATTCCCTAAGAAAGCAATGACTCAATTCAGGTTGTGACTTTATATTTTAAGCACCACTCAAAAAAAGTGGACATAAAGCAGGTGATTTGTTTGCCCATCACTATTCCAGCTACACAGCTGAGAGTTCTGTTCTTGTTACACAACACTTTCTCTGTTCCCAGAAGATAAGACAGCCCTGCGACAAATGGGACAGGTGGAATTCTCTGACAACCAGCGGTCGATGCAGTGGACGTGGTACTCATGGGAGCAAGGTAGTTTCCGAAGTTTGTTGCCTTCTGTGTATTCGGTAATGCAAACACTGCATGTTTTCAATGCATCATTTTCACCAAAGCTTCTCATTGCCAGGTTATCAATTTGTTCTTTGGTGAGTCCTCTGGGTTGGTCTTCATCATCTTCATTTAAAAGAAAAAACTGAGCCAAACTAAGGAATGGCAGAGAGCCACTTTCATCAAATGCAACTGGGGCCCTATGTCGAGCATCTCTCCTGGATGGGCCAGATGCGCTTCCTTCACTACCGCCTTCAAATATCTCTGAGCTACTTTCTGAACTTTCACCACTTGAACTGGGCCTTCCACTTCGTGACTCTACTCTCTCCGTATTTCGGCTGGAGACTGAGGCACTAGGCTCTGAATCACTGTCACTGTACATAAAGTAGCTGAGCTCACCAAAACCTGTCATTATCTGCCTTAACATAGTTTGAATTGCAACAGATGTAGTTTCACTTAATCCAGTATTTAGGATTCTACGAATAGGAATCCTGATAGTACTAACATAGGTTCTCACGCCTGCACGTTCAGAACGTGAAAAGGTGCGTCTAAAACCTCCACGTTCACTTTCATAAGTAACTGTGTTGTTCGGAGCCTGAGATCTTGATCGAGTTCTACTAGCTATACTATCCCTCTGCCGATATTCACCTGGACGAACTCTTCTTACTTGAAGATCAAGAACTATGGTTGGAGGTCTTTGGCCAGATCCTGAGGATTCACTATTGCTACCTGTGTCTGAAGAACTTGTCCCCTGAGAGGGATTTCTTGATCCTGAAGCCGCAAAAAGACCTCTACCTAACAACTCCGGTCCAGATATCTGCTGTCTCAGGGTCACGTGGTGCCGGGTTCTAGAGCTTCCTTCAGGCTCATTTTCCGAAGATTGCTCCAAGGCCTGAGGTGAGATACTATGATGAGCTCTTCGTGAAATTTCATTTGTCGGATGAAGAGGTGACCTACTTCTTTCAGCTCGTGCTCTGGTTCTCCGATGTTCTGGGCTCCGGCTTCTTGCCCTCCTCTGACCTCTGGTGGATGGCACTTCTGTTAATGCTTCATTTGAATTGCGTTCTGCTCTAGATGGTCTTGCAGATGTTGATTCAGATCCAGAATTTTCCATTTGCCTTTGGCTGTTGCTTTCCATGTTTTCTACACTAAGACGCCTAGTGGATGGTTCGTTCTCATTTTCTGGAGTTTGGCTTCCATTATTACGGTTAACATTTATCTCTAAACTAAATCTGAAATCACCACTGTTCGGATTAGTCCGGCTGACTGCTCTCCAGGACTGGTTTCCTCTCTGACCACTTCTTGTTGTATTTCCAGTTTGTCTGACTGAGTTAAGCCAATCTATTATAGAATCACTGTTGGATACATCATCTGAAGACTCTCCAGCTGTTTAAAACAAAGGGGGAGAAAGAGAGAAAGGAACTACAAAATTAGGACACTCGTGTAATGCTCATTAACATTAAAGAATTTTGCAATTCTGAATAACTTTTTACAAATTTACACTGAAAGAAGAAAGCTAAAATACACTTAAGAGTCAGCAGTTGTCAACCTGTGGGTCATGATCCCTTTGAGGGGCTCAAATAACCCTTTCACGAGGGTCACCTAAGACCATCTGTAGATCAGATAAATTTACATTATGATTCATAACAGTAGCAAATTACAGCTATGAAGTAGCAATGAAATATGGCTGGAGGTCACCACAACATGAGGAACTATATTAAAGGGTTACATCATTGGGAAGGTTGAGAACCACTTCTCTAGAAGTGAGACTGCTAGTCTGTGAGACCATGGGAAGGCATGAGTTTTCCAGGCCACTGTCTAAACAAAATCAAACTATATCATCACTAGTCGGGGGGCTAGTGTTGGGATTTTGGTTCCAATTATATTTCTACCATATTTTCATCAGTTTCAACTGTCTTTGATACCATGAAGTTGTTCTAAAATATAAGATTATAACCAGAGCTAAAATATAAATAAGGCGAAGTTTATAATTACTTGAATATTTGTCAATTATCAAAAATTTTCAATTTCTATAAAACTAAAGAGTATTATCAAATGCTGAACCTAGATTAACAGCATAGCTAACAGTATGTTCACAAATTAAACTTCTATTATAGCTCCTAGGTTACAGTCAAATCCCCTATTTCCTGCAGAGAAAGAAGCACTATTCCCCAGCATACTTGTTCTCTGCCTGTTTGATACTAACAGAAAACCCTCATCAGCTGTGCCAACCAAACACGTCTCCAGTCATTGCTAATGCCCCCAGGTGGAACAACCACTCAACTGAAAGGTGCTGGCCAACAAAGCAGCATTCTCTCTTGTTGATAAGCCCACATTTATAAATAAGGAAGTGAGTAGGAGAATATTTCAATAGATGTGGAAAGCCAAGGAGAGGAAAATCTCAACTTAAATAGGCGATTTATCACTGTTGCCCAATTAACACAAACAATCCAAAGGTGAGGCAGACACAGCGGTGCTGCCATCCTCCCCAAATAGCAAGAACATGCTACTTCTCTTTCTATGAGTACTTAGCACCAGATTAATTTGTGGCATTTCTGAATAATCTTTGGTTGATATTCACTATTAGAAAGTTCATCTTTCCAACCTCTACCCATCTCCCCAAACAAAATATACCTCTATTTTCATCAGAGCTCTGTGGTGGTGGACCCTCTTTAATTTGTTGTAGTCTTCTGAGCAACTCTTCCTCAGTACTTTCGCCTGAAAGTTGAACAATTGTTTGCCAAATTACAAATTAAGTAAGAACATATCAGTTTCTGTCTTTTTTCCCCACCAACATGATTCTTTTTAAAGAATGGTTCATCCAAGATGACCTCAAACTCAAGAATCTCCTGCCTTAGCCTCCTGTGCAGCTGGGATTATAGGCATGTGTCACCAAGTCATGTCTGGCTTTGTGATCTGCACTTTAAACTCAGTTTTGCCAGAAAACACATGAGTAACGGCAGGGCCAGAACTGCAGTTAAGACAGTCTAAAGTTTGCTCAAAATGTTCCACCTAAGCCTTGCGAAAAACCTTACATTTGAAAATGAATGAAACTGTCCACAGGTTAGTGGAAATAGTCAAGTTGTAACTAGGATCAAATGAGACTGTTATCTCAGTGAAAGAATAACTAAGGACAAAGTTCTAGCTGCTGGTTTACACAGTTTACCCACAGATTACTCTGTATGCTTGCAGTTGGGACATATTCAGAGAGTAAGATGAGATGACAAAATAAGATGAGTCTGTCCTAGAAACCAAAGGCCCATTGGCTATTTTGTACCTGGATGCATAGCTAGCTAAACTGTTCAGTTCAATTCTTATTTAATCCATTTCACTAAAGATTTGTAGTTCAAAAATTACAAACATCTGACAGGACTATTCTGAGAATAGAAACAGGCAATAAATATAGTAGTGGCATCTCCTATATTAGTAACTTTTCATTAAAGAAACATAAAACAAGGCTGGGCGGTGGTGGCCACGCCTTTAATCCCAGCACTTGAGAGGCAGAGACAGGCAGATTTCTGAGTTGGAGGCCAGCCTGGTCTACAGAGTGAGTTCCGGGACAGCCAGGACTACACACTACACAGAGAAACCCTGTCTCAAAAACAACAACAACAACAACAAAAAACAAAAAAAAATAAAACAAGCTGTTTCTTTAAAAAAAAAAAACCTCAGCAATTTACATATATACATTACATGTAAGCTTACCAGGGGTGCCTAGCAAATTGTTGTCTCTCATAAGTCTATAATCTTCTTCACTGAGATTATTTACAAATTGATAGAAGGCTTCTTCCCGATCCAATCGATCCATTTGACTTCTGCGCTGAGCGGCAGACTGGTCATTTCCTTTATCGTTAGTATCTGAGCTTTCCATCTTGGTGAACAAGTGGAAAATTATCTAAAAAGAAAAAAAGACCAAACTGAGAACAGACTCCATTATGCATTCCATACCTTTATTTACTTGGAAACCAGAATGCAGGAATAGAGGTGCATTTTAAGAAAACAAATGAAATATATAACAGAAAAACTTTGGGAAAGCACTGGTACACTAGGAAGTCTAGGTCAGAGAGTAGTCGTATTAGGGCCTAATTCAGCAATGTGGCCTATTTTTATCTTCTTTATAATCTACAAATGGCTTTTTACATTGACACCGTAGAAACTGAACCTAGGGCCTTCCTTGCATGCATTCCACCATGAGAGTACACATCTAAGCACCTAGGTTTTATAGTTATTTGAGCCAGGGAAATCTGTGTGGTCCACTCAACTCAAACACGGTTCTCCTGCCTGAGCCTCTTCAGTGCATGGCTACTTTCACATTTTAAAAAATGTGGCCGGGTGGTGGTGGTGGCGCACGCCTTTAATCCCAGCACTTGGGAGGCAGAGGCAGGCGGATCTCTGAGTTTGAGAGTTCGAGGCTAGCCTGGTCTACAGTGTGAGTTCCAGGACAGCCAGGGCTACACACAGAGAAACCCTGTCTCGAAAAAAACAAAAACAAAAAAAAACAAAAAAAAATGTGGTGTATGGAAAATAGGAAATACACGCCAGTCTTCCTAGTCTTCCTGAGAATGCACACTCTCGTTATGGCTGAACTGAGCAACTGTGACAGACTGTAACTGGGTTCCTTACTGCTTTGCACCACTGGTCTCTGCACTTCCAGTTACCTCAATGCAACTGCAACTTGATAGTATTTCAAGGATGGCATGTGTCATCCTGTGACTTTTTAAAAACATGCAAGTATATATTCTTTGTAGTGACATACTTGAACATCACACATAAAAGGGACAGCAGAGGCTACCTACTTTAATAATCTATGCTCTGCAAATTAGAAAACCCAAGGTGAAAGATTTCGTCTAAAACATTAAAACTTTTTCATTAAAAAACCCCATGCACTGGACTATAATTCAGCTGTTAAAAGTTATGAAATTTCCAGGTCAGTGGATAGAGCTAGAAAAACTCAACCTGAGTAAGATAACCAGAGACCAAGAAAAATATCGTACATTTTCTTTCAAATGTGGATGTTATTTTCTAAGTCCTTGATAGGCATGTTACAATCCATATAACCAGTGGTTGGATGTCAAGTAAGAGACTAGGGGGAGGGGTTTTGTGTGCCTCTGTTTTCTAGAGAGAGAAAGGGATGGAGTTGGATAAGTGGGAAGGATCAGAGGGGAAGAAAACTTTGGTCAATATATTGCATGGAAAAAAAATACTGTTTCTTCCTTCCTTTTACTTCCCAAGTGCTGGGATTAAATGCATGCACCACCACCATCCAGCCAAAATTTTTTCAATTAACAAGAAACAAAAACAAAAATGAGGATTTAACCAAAAATTTCCAAATGGCTCGTTTTTTTGTTTTTGTTTTTCTGAGAAAAGAAAGCCATTTTATCAATGGTAAATAAAATTTTGTTTAAGGGCAGAAATGTGTACAAAGGAAATTAATTTATTAGCACTAGCCTTTTATTTACTGTAGCTACATTAAAAAGTTGAGGACACTAGACAGAATGTCATTGACCATGCACATCAATCTTCCTGGCCTAGCTTTCTGAATGTTTTAAGATGGTAAAAATATATGGAGAATAGGAAAAAACCAGGTTGGACTATTTAATTTTATCAAAACTCAAGATGTTTAAAGCCTTTGGTCACTCATTTTATTTTCTTCAACAAATACTCTGAAGAAAATGAGAATCCATCATGTTACTAAATCAGTAATGTCAAGATAAACCTTATTCTTGTGGCTTTAATCATCTTTAGTTGTATGGATTTGTTTTTATCAATTTTTTTTTGAGACAGGATTTCACTACATAACCTTGGCTGGCCTAGAACTCTGTAGACCAGTGTGGCCTCAGACTCAAGAGATCTGCCTTCTGAGTGCTGGGATTCTGTCAGAAATCTACCAAGTTGTTTTGTTTTGAAGAGACAGCTCTACTTTGTAGCCTATGCTGGACTTGAACTAATGGCAATCAATTCTCCTGCTTCATTTGAGCCACAGGCTTAACCTTGGTTAGATTTTATTGTGATTTGTAGAACTTGAGCCAAAGATCTTTTTTTTTTCTTAATGAGAACGACCTCAACTCCTTCAAAATAGAAACAGCTTGAGGAATTAGGTTTGGCTGTAACTTGATAATAATGTCTCTTAATGAATAAGAGGACAAGTAATACTTATATGCAAAACTTGATAGGAACACTGATACAACTGGCTATCAAAGACAGGAGAGCTCTACTCCTTTGATGTTTAGCAAATCTTTGAGCTCCAACTACACTTCCAAAAGCGAAAAGTGAATTTCCTCATATTAAACTTCATTGCTAGGTCAATGGCTCCATGGTTAAGAGTACTGGCTCCTGCTGAGCAACGGTGGCACAAGCCCTTGAATCTTAGCACTCAGAGGCAGAGACAGGTAGATCTCTGGGAGTTTGAGGTCAGCCTGGTCTACAGAGTGAATTTTAAGACAGGACAGCCAAAGCTACATGGAGAAACCCTGTCGCAAACCATGCCTAGTCCAAACAAACAAACAAACAAACAAACAAACAGCACTGGCTGCTCTAGGAGAGGACACAGTTCCGTAATTATCAGCATGATAGCTCATAACCATCTATAACTCCATCTCTAGGGGACCTGACACTCTCTTCTTGGCCTCCAGAGATACTAATCAATCATTTGGTGCACGTACACGCATGTAGGCAAAGCCCCATACATAGAAGTAAGTCTCAAACTAAAATTCATACAGCATATAACTAAGCTTCTATCTAGCCTTGAAAGGGAGATAGTAACTCATTCTAATGATACCCTAAAAGTTATACTTGGGAACTGAATCTCTGGCTTTAGACTTGAGAACATTGCTCCCTAAAAGAATGACCTTCTCACTGGTTAACTTGTATTAGGTAGAATGTAATCAATTACTATTATTATTACACATTGAGATTAATCAGCAACAACCTTATCAGACCAATCATAGCAGCACAACCTTGTAATCCCAGATGCTCAGGAGACTGAGGACAAAAGATGTTATAGGTTTTTTTTTTAAGATAGCGTTTCATGTAGCACAGGGTGACCTCAAACTCTGGATCCCTGACTCCATGATCTAAGCATTGTAGAAATAGGTATGTGCTACCATGCCTGGCTCTGAAAACAAAGAAGTCTGAATTCCTGGCTAGCCTGGGAAACACAGTAATACCTCATCCCCAAATCAAGAACCAAAACCAAAACCAAACAAAAGCAACAAAAACAGGAAAAAAAAAACAAGAAAAAAGGAGGAGTGATCTTTCTGCAATTTTGGCTTCTCTCTCACCTAAGGTTCCCATGCTGACACCCTAGCCGCCGAAGTTACAGTATTAGGAAGTAAGGACTCGCAGTCTCTTCTTGGAGAGACCTTTAGAGAGCTACCTTGACATTTTCTTCAATGGGAATACAGTGAGAACCATGAAGTCAACCCTCGCCAAACACCAAGCTGCCCAGGCCTTGATTCTGACTATCCAGCTTCATGAACTCTCTAAGCTGTTGTTTAAAAGCTATGGACCTTAGGACATTCCATTTATTATAGTAGCCCAAACCGACAATGACAGTATGAAAATAAATTTGTGGTAGAGAGTACTATAATTTATCCCTCCCCCAACATGTAACAGTACACCAGTATCTTCATAAATCAGTCCTAAAGGGAAAACCAAAACCTTCTCAATATAGTAGCTAATTCACATTTATAATCTTCATACTTGGAAGACCAAGGCAAGAGTTCAAAACCAGCTCAAGATACAAGGACTTTGTTTCTAAAAAAAAAAAACCAAAACCCTATTCCAGATTTTACAAAAAAGCACAAAGAACCCTGTTCTTATCAAATGTTGCCCACTTACCTACTCGAGGCTAAACAGTCTAGGAATAGTCACACTTAGACTTCCCTTCCATCTCCTGAACACCACCATTCTCTAAGTGATCCTTTTACTCTTAAGTCAGTAAGATGAGCATGCCAAGGAGGTAGAGAATGGGGCCACAGTGTTTCCAGTTTCCTAGCTTATTACTAAATTTCTTTAATTTTTACAGAAATTTCTGATAAGTGTTTTAATAACATGTCACTATGGAAGGACCAGAAATCAGAGTGAACAGTCATAAAAGTACATGGGTCAAGAAGTATAAACAAATGTAAAAAAAAAAAACCCACAACACAAGCTGCCATTTTCCTTACAAGTAACACAAATTGGTATTGGTAGCAGCAGCTGCTTTTTTAAAAAACAGAAAAACACAAAGGGAAAGAAAACAGAACCCCCAAGCCATAATTTGCCAAAGAAAACCACCACTAAAGTCTAATTAACATTCTTAAAGCAGTCAACATTCCAGACTAAAGTTAGGAGGAAATCTACCTGTGATAAATCAAAGTAAACTAGAGCCAAGAATTGACAAAAAAAAAAAAAAACCAGGAAAGCCAATAATTCTTCCTTTTAATACAAAAGGTATAACATAGCTGCCCCCAAACAGAGACGTAATCAACACCTTAAAGCAAGCAAACTACTTAAATCTGCATAGTCATATTGTGTAGAAGTTAAACAAAAAGAATGAATTCAAAAGACCTTCTGAACTAAGAAAGTACAGGTTCTTCCCCCCCCCAATCTGGAAATATGGTAATATTGATCTGTATGTTCCAATGACACAATTCCAAAATTGCAAGCAAATTAGCAAGGCCTTGCTAAATAGTGTTTGCTAAGGCAGTGGCTTCCATAAGAAAAGTTTGTTGCTTGTAATTATTTTGGGGACAAGAATAAAATCTGGTACATTCTCCATTTCTGCCCTAACTCTCTGTCCTTTCTGCTTTAATTCTGCATTGGTTAAGAGTAGAGTAAGTTATGAGATCTTAGCATTAGGAAGGCACATCCATCTTGTTAGGAAAGTCATAATGGTGAGTTATACCTCAGGTA